CTTTCTTGTTCATTGAGGGACACGATTTCTCAGACTGTTGGATTATACTGCCATCTACTCTTGCAGGCAAAAGTATAACCCGACAGTCTAAGAATTCCTGCGTCCATCAATGGAGTCCAAGAGAAGGATTTTACGGCGAGTACAATAATCCTATTTTTCTGTGTACTACAAATACATTTTTTCCAGTGCTATGACCTATTTAGTGCTATGCCCAAAAGGTGTAAAGTAGAAATTCAAAACGTACAATCCAGAGAATCTCCCACAGCCCCGATCTTTTTGGATCTTCTGTGTTTCTATAGTATTGTTTTGCAGATGCAAAGTAGATACTAGGCATGGAAATGTGGCATACTTGAATGCAACACTTCCCATTCTGGAATATTTCTTGCACTTAAAGGAGAACTATGGTGCCAGGGCTTTTCCCCACAGTTCTCCTAAGGGTAACAGGAGGACACAAACTAGCGTCCTTCCGTCACCCTAAGCTCAGTATACTGCGAGCTACAGCTCGCGGTTTACGGAGACGTCGCAGACGGGACGGATCCCGACATTACTCTCGAGATCCACCCAGCTGCGGGATTGACAGTCACCTCTCTCTGCAGGGATAGATCGAGAATGAGCGAGCGACGGTATGTGTTCGCTCACTTCCCGATCTATTGAGCCGACGTGTGACAGTTTCATTGTCACAGGTCGTCTAGAACTAAGCAGGCCAGGCATGCTTTTGATGTGCTTTCCATGGCATGATTAATTGCACATACAGTATATTAATTTAACTGAATAGCATTATAACACTGGCTTCTAACTTTACTAGGCATATTAAATTTGCACTAATTGCTACATAAAATTTGGCAGGTGCTTGAGATCCCAATAGACATGAAAAATATATCTGCCTCATGAGTCCAATTCTTGAATACAATACTACAATCCTTGCTATAACATCAATATTCTGAATATGTCATGCAATGTCAGTGCAATCATCGCGATAACATTGTTATTATGAATATATCAGACAATATCGGATGGGAAAATCGGACAACCGTAGCATTTGCAGTCAGCAGTATCAGATTTTCATTGTTCATTATGAAAATGGAAGTGAAGAGCAGAAAATTGTTACCACAATCTGTTAATAACTTGCTGTGCTATGGCCTATAGTTGCAGTCACTGCTGCTAAGAGTGGCAAAAACAGTTATAAATCACAAGGAGTTAATTTTTTTCCCACCGTGCCAGTTGGTGTTGGATAAATGTGCTCATTCCAAAAAATGTCAAGTTAAAAAAGGAAAATTGTTATTCGTTCACTTGGGTGCACTTTATTTAATTCTACATTCAGTTGGAAGGCCTAAAAATATATGCACTGGAATTCATGGAGAATGCCATAGATACTCATTAGAAATCTGTCTCCTGTCCATGCAACAAATTGTGCACCTTGCAATAGGTTCATGTAACTGTCAGTAAGGTGTATATGGACCTCTTGCAGAATTGCCTCACACAGAATTTTGTCTACAACACAGTACTACAAGTGTGTACTGTTCTTTACCTCCTTTTCTTTCTTATCACCGATATGGCAGTATTTTTTGCATCCACAGCGCCGGAATGTAACACTGTTGCACATAAAAATTACCTGAATTTTTTGCACGTGCAGAAATGGCAAGTAAACTTGCACGGATTTTATGAATTTGGTGCAGGGCTTTCTTATACGGCCATAATGCCAGAAGTGTTGCAAATGCTTGATTGAAACCCACTTAGGGCTCTTTCAGACGCGCATTTAGAATTTACCGCACAATGAACGCTTATTAAGGCGCCTATAGCTTTAACAAGGCATTAGGCAGGCATTTGCTAGGCGTTAGGGAGGCATCAAAAGCGCTTGGAAAATGCCCTGCCTCAAAGAATAATGATAAATTGATAAAATATTGATTAAAAAAAAAATGTGA